AGCAATTGTGTCAATAGCTCTGGTGAGATCGGTGTTCCAAGTGTCTACTAAGGCTTTGACAGAATCACTGGTGTTACCAACCATTAAACCCTCTAAGGCTTTCTGGAAACCAATTGGTTCCATTAGCCTTCGAGGGCGGACCGTTCTAATGGGTCCGCCACCCCCGGGAGGGTGGGTAGTAGCCTTTAGTTCTGCCCTGATCAGAAAATGATCCATCCGTGACAGTGCGGAGGTTTTTTTAACCTCCACCCACGGATATTCTTGCTCCGTACTAAAGACCGCATCGAGGGTACAATGCGTGGGCCCGTTGACCAACTGGGATAGGCCCATGTTAGTCATGGTATCCATGAACTCCCGAGCCACGCCAGTTAGATCTTGCAAACTGGTTTCGAGTGGGATGTTGAAATCGCCCAGAACCAAAAGTCTGGGTGATTCCAGCAGCAACTCAGAAACCAGGGCGGTCAGCTCGGTTAGGGAGTTTGTTAAGCAATGGGGTGGCCGGTATACCAACAGAATCCCCAAATTATCCCTGGTTTTCAGGCTAAGGTACATACACTTGATGTGTGTCATTTTCCAGATAGGCTTTCTGATCACGGTTAAGGTGTTCCTATGGACCAAGGCTATACCACCACCCCGCCCACTTTCCCTCACCTGCTCACTAACTGAGTACCCGGCTGGGAGAGCCTGCGCCCAATTCGCGGAGCTGGCATCCCCCATCCAGGTCTCAGTGAAGCATGCCAGGTCGGCCGCCTCATCCACCAAGAAATCGTGGATGATATGGGTCTTTTTTTTGACCGACCTGGCATTGCAAAGGAGCAGATTGCAAAGGAGCCTGTGGCACCTTCCTTGCATTGCAAAGGAGCCTGTGGCACCTTCCTTGCATCAACACTGGAAGAGTTGAGTTGAGTTTGTGTACATTCTAGGATGGGAGGGGAGGAGGTTGTCTTAGCCAATCAGAAAACAAGGACAGATTGAGACCAGGTAGGATTATTGCACACACATTATATCAAATGGGCTGAAAGCGTTCTTGCTGACTGAGGACGCATTTTTACAGTTCTCCTCCTGGAACAGGCTAGGGACTGTCAGAGCACGGAATGGGAACTCTATGAGGATCATACATTCCGTTCCATTCTCATCACGTACTCATTGCATTCTAAGAACACAGTGCGATAAGCTTATTAGTTCTATTTGGCACTATTGTCTATCTAATAACAATTTTGAAGAAGGGAATCCTCTGGGACGCCCACCAAAACAATTAATGCATGATGGGTGAAAGCTGAAGGGGGAAGCCTGCTCTGAATTCCAGTTGTGACACAGAACCACAGGCTGGAATACCATAGATCAGGGGTAGGCAACCTTTCCCCTTTAAGGACTGAGGGACTTCAGCTCCCAGAAGCCTCAGCCATGTTGGCCAATAGTCCCATGTTGGCCAATAGCTCCTGGGATTCTGGGAGCTGAAGTCCCTCGGTCCTTAAAGGGGAAAGGTTGCCTACCCCTGCCATAGATAACATGGTCCTTGTTCATGCTGGCTGGGGAACTCTGTAATCCAGACTATTACCTTTCCTATGCTATGTGTATTTCTGTGCAAAGTAGCTCCTCTACAGTCTCTATAAGCACTGAGCTGGTTCTCCCTTTTCGTCCTTTCCTAAAACAAATTAGCTGGAGGCACAAGTACAAGAATGGGTCCAGCCTATCTGAAAGACTGAAGACCTTATCTCCCAATATACTTGAGTTTAAAGATCTGCAGGGAAGGGCTCTCTCCTGGCCCCATCATCATCACATTAATGTAGATGTAAGCCACCTTGGATCTTGTGAAAGGAGAGTAGCAGGCTAGAAGTAAAATAAAATGGCATAAATACAAAACTTTTGAAGACACAGGAGAGAACTTTCTTTGTGGCTGCTTCCAGAATGAGGTATTCCCTGCTGCAGGAAGAAATCTTGGCCCCCTCTGTGTTGACTTTTCAGCAGCATATAAAAATCTTTTTGTTTACTCAGGCTTTTGTGTGTTAATTGTCTGATGCAAAAGGTCATATAATTAGTATGTGTTGTGCTAGTATTTTTATAATTACAATTATTATATTAACTACCTTTTAAAAACTGTTTTAAATTTATGTTTTTAATGTGATTAATTAATTTTAAGCTTGGGTGGACTATTCTTGTTTCAGTTGTATTTTGTTTTACCTACCTTGGGTCTCATATTGGGAGAAAGGTGGGAAAGAAATTAAATAAATATGAGTGCCACTACCAAGAATGGCCTCTCCCTCATTGATTCATTCAGATGGCACTTAACATTCCAATAGAGGGTTTGCTTTAAAGAACTGTTATGAAGCTATACATCAAATAACCATGGAATACTGATTTTTCATCCTTGGATAGAGATCCAAAGGATGCCAATAGGCTAACTTAAATATGTGACAGCTATTGACTGGAGAAAAATCCAGGGTCTGCCACAACAGATTAAATAATTCCAGTTGAAAACTGTGGTTATATGAAAACTGTGCTCCACTAGAACACCTTGAGATGATAGAGAACCTGCTCCAAACTAGACTCTACTCATTTATTCCAACAGATGTTCTCAGACAACTGTCTGTCAGACTGTTTGCCTGTCTGCCTCCCTAATCCATCATCAATCATAAGAGGCTGGAGAGCTACCTGCTGGGGATGCTTAGGAAGAGATCTCTCATTGAACAAAGGGTTGGACTGGATGCCCATGAGGCCCCTTTCACCTCTATGATTCTATGACTAATCTGGTAAGGTTCTCTATAACTTCAGCTGCAAGAAGCTATCTATCTATCTATCTATCTATCTATCTATCTATC